CCAACCCCATAAGTGCGCGCCATACAGTGTGCTAACCCCTTTAATATGGTATTAATGCTGTCCCTTCATATGATTTGTCCTGTAAAACTGTTAATGAATTCGGCTGAAAGTGCTTTTAACGTTTTGTTCATAGAGACGCGTTAATAATATATGTACTGTTTCCAATCAAACCGACTACGTTTCCATCTTTTCTTTTTCATCTAGCAGTCTGTCAAATTCCACTTGGTTTTTCAAAGGTATTGCAAAGGAATGTAAACCGATTCCTCCAGTTGAGCCCCAAATGAGCAAGGTCTGATGCGATGTTTAAGTTGACCTGGTCAGTTTCTGTGCATAATGCAGCGGTTGCAGTTCAATTTACACTTTCCAGCTAGTATTTTTTGTTTACAGACCATCCTTAGTAAGTGTCAGCACAAGTGCGGTGGCTGTGATGCGACAGCCAAAGTAGTGGCGATACCTTCTAGGTACCATTAATGAAGGAAAATCCACTTTTGACACGGTTTAAATTGCATAAAGAGAAACTATAGAGGAATTCAGTAAGACGTCAATGCTCATCCATCGATGTCATACTTGAACTATCCGTAAGGCTTCGAGACGCGAACCTTCCTACCATTTATGTACTTCAATAACTGTTATGTTGATTCAAGTTCTTGTGGTTTTTCCAAACCAATGTGCGCATAGCATCACACTACTGTGTACATTAGCCAAGCTTGCTTACGTTACAAGGAAATACACCCACTATAAAGGTTTAGTTGACTTAACAGAATCAATGGCTTCAACTGCTAGGGGATGAACTATAAAACAGCGTTTAACACTGTGTAAGTTAGTGTAAGCTAGGCTCGATAGAAGCAAAGGCTTGGTTTTTGCATCTGCATCCGAAGTGCTGGTCTAGGATGCGAAAACAGAGGCAGCACACGGGTATTATTAAACAAATTGTGAAAAATCAAGGGGTTCTTGTGACTCTTCCCATTAGTTGGTAAAGATGTTGACCACATGAATGCGACTACTCTTTCATCAAATGATTTTCTTGAATTGTAACATCCTTTTCCACAAACAATCAAAGAGAGGCCACGCGTTATGTTCGAACAGCACAAACTAAACGTTACGCTGAAGGGCGAAAAGGTGAGCAACACTTTCACTATTCGTATTCTTTCCCAAGGTGCTTAAACTACTAAATGGAGACGTTGTCGGGACACTTGGACGACTAGCATCAAGAAAACTGGTAAGATGTCTTTTGCGTAGTTTTAAAAATGGACCAAAGGCTCGACGTTAGACAAGAATGTTCATATCAGACAACTACACTAGGAATCGGCGTACTCCTAAGTTATCAGATTGTCCATTTCAAAAGAGCTTTTGTGCCATTTCTAAATGTCACCTGTATCGCTGAATTCTCCCAATTTTCGGAACTTATAATCAGTGGTCAGAGCACTTTCCACCCATTTGTCTTTGGGTGGTTAACGATGATCTTGATGACCCGCCTTATAATGAGGAATCCACGTTTTTGGTGCTTATCTTCACTTCCTGCTGTCTGCCTTCTTAATGGAAATACCATCAATACTACCCTTAAATACGGTCTAAAAGTGCGTTCGCCACTTTCGAGAAAACAATGCTAATAAGCTGTAATGAGAGTGAGATTTTTGTGAAGCCCAAACACCTCCACCTCCCCTCAAGTGATTCAAATGTGTCCAGTCACACTTTTTTCACTACCATACACTGAGTCAGGCGGCAAGTGAGGACAGAATGGTCAAACAAAGGTCATTCCGACCACCATATAAGTTCACATGCGTTACAATCGCGTAATTACTGTCCAAAGCACGCTTTTCGGTGCATGCTAATTCAGAGTTAAGTGAATTCAAAACCTTAGAAGCAAATCTAGGAACTGGCAATTCTTGATTTGGAACAAAAATTTGCCAGTCAACAGTGCCTTAGCAGAGGTCTTCAATTTCAAATCGATTCTCTTATAAGTAAATGCACAATAAAAACCAAAGCATGTGGTCATTTTGGGCGTAAAAATCACAGGTCATAGTGGCAAAGTGTAGTATGTTGTGACAAACGGAAATTATTCTCGACATGGTGACGCCTATGTACCGCGGATGCAATGGTGTGCGTGTGTATTTGGAATGTTTACACTAACAGCCCGGTGATTACGGCGTGCGCCAGGTCTGGAACAGAAAAGACCATAGCAAACATCCTTACCTTGTTTGCACTGTTTTGTAAGCAGAGATATTTTATAATTGAACTTAGTGCGACTACCACATTCTCTGTCGTTTCAACAGCACAAAGTGCATTGTCCGCATGATGGAATGCGTTCTGAGGAAATTGTGTCCACGAAACGAAATGCAAAAGCCTACCCCAAAGTTTAAAACTTTAAACTTTACAAAGGGACATAAAGTGAATGATCAATGACGATATAACGTTGCAACAATGCAGTGGATATTTCATGCATAGTAGCTCAAACCTCTGGCAGCACTATATGCCTCTCTGATAATAAAGGGAATTTAGCACTTAACTGCATGATCTCATCAGTAAGTTTTGATGCGCAACATATTTCCGCAGGGCGAAATGTGCACGATGGAAAGGCAATCTTAAGTAGGATCACTGAAAGTATCCTTTCTTAGAGGTGGGGCTTTTTGGCAGCTCATCTTACTTCACCGTTTCTCCCAGCATCGGCCACACCTGCTGACACCACTTCACGTGGTCCGTATCGAAAACTACGGACGAAAGAAAACATATTCCAATTTTCTTCATTAAGTTTGGCTCAATGTAGCGGACATTCAGTAGAGGATAGGTGCAGCAGTCAGCAACCGCAGATGTGAAGGTATGCCACTTTAATTGTAATTTGACCGCATGCCATGACAATCACGATCCCAAACCTCCAACCATCTTCTCTGGCCCGGAATATGAATAAGCCAAACCAATATTCAGTTTTCTTTCGTGAACAATGACACAAGCCGTACGCCTTAGAGATGCACGTTTGTGTACTACCATGTAGAGAACAACCTCACTAATATTGTCTTTAGCTTTCGGAGAATATCTTTTGCTTCTAAAACCAAAATAATTGCGTAAATTACTGAAGTCAACAGTTCATTCGATAACTTTACTAAGTGCACAGCGAATTTCCATACTTTAGCCAACATTGACATGTAATTTGGAAAAGGACAGAAGAAAACGATGCACAAATTGCCTACTGCCTAGAAAATCTTGCAAATGTAAGCGGGAAGCTATTTTCGGAAGGAAGTGCCTTCAAGACCGAAGGCGTATCCGTGCGTCCTTTTGTGCTGCCAGAGGTTGTGCATAAGCGGAAAGTGATACGCCGACGCGGACCCAAGTTGGCTGGTTCGCCTTTTACCACTTTTGAGTCTAATCAGCTTCGTAGATTCGAATAACGCTTATAAAACCATCAAAAATTTTTATGCACACTGCCCTAAATTTAGTGTAGCTATGAAGGTCTCAAGGATTTTTGTCTCGATTTCAAGTTGACTCCAGCTAAATCCAAACATCGGAGCCACCTCCCTTACAAGACGTTCGAAATACAAACGCATGCCCATGAGAGATCGTCCACAAATGTGTAGTTTTAAGTCGCTTTCTTACAGCCATATTTGAAGCATTTCCCACGACAGAAAATCGTGCCCTTCCAATTTATCAAGGTGACATGTTGGTAAGTTAAAAACTCGATTTTAGACCACTAGACGTGGGTTTTGACAAGGATATTTTGGCAGGCCATACGGAGCAAACATCTAAAACACGAGATCCTAGCAACGAAATGAGATAAAGACAGCAACACTTATCCAAACTCATGAAACCGCATTTGGGACAGCCTTAAATATTCTAATCATGCGAGATTCATAAAGCCTAATGGAGGCTGATCAACAAAGCAAGGTTGAGGAGTAGACCTCCGTAGTTCAGCTTCTTCGCTCCACAGTCCCCTCGCTATAACGGCATGCAGTTGATTTGGACCAGCAGAGGGTATATAAGTAAACAACTTGGTGTAAACAATTCCGCATTGAACCACAGCGACATGTGATAAATTATCAAATACATTAAAGTTGAAGAATGAAAGCTAAATGTATACTTACTTTAAGGCCGTAAGGTACTGATGGGCAAAATTAGAGGACCCAACTATGCTAATTAAAGGCTAGCCCACTAGCACACCAAACACTGACAAACATAAACTAGTATCCTGACAAGAAACAGGATAGAATCGTGAATAAAGTCAATGCAACCTTAACCAAAGGAGCTCACCCTTTATATGTAGTGCAACACACTCTCTTCTATTACATTTGAGAAAATAATACGTGTAACTGATTACATTTATTCTTCCTGCACACCTCGACTGATTTAAACCACTACCCAAACATGGCATCCAAAGGCACTGAGTGTTGTCTAAGGAAATTCAAAAACGCATAAATGAGAATGTGTCTACACATAAGGCATACATAGAAGAAAATTACAAGGATTAAGAGAGTGGGAAGGAATAAAGGTACGGGATTGGACACAAGAATATTGCTTTGCTGCTTATTTGCTAACCCCAGTTCTCTAGCAAACATTGGCACAAAAAAAAATACAAAAATAGGAAACACAAACGTATGAGTGCAAGTCAAGGATTGGTAAGATCACTAAAGGGAAACTGATGTCCTTGCTATTGTGCAGTGTTATATTACTGATGAAAATATCAGTAGAGCAGTCAGAAATACAAGATGACAGAGATCAAGGCACAGGGTGATGGATGTGTGTAGATCTTTGCCTACTACAAAGCAGCTATTCATTTTTCGGCCCTGCCCTGAAAATGATAAAATTTTCAACGGAAAGAGTTCCAATTCTGAGGTAGTCCCATTCTTCGGGTGTGATCCAGAGAACTTTACGGACGAGAAAAAGGGAAAAGAGTATTTACACTTTTTTGTTAGAATAAGCGCTGGACTCGGAGCTCAAGTAGGGTTCCTGCCGCATTTGCTGTAAAGAAAGATCTTGAAAAAGGGGAAAGGTCATTGAAAGTGTCCAATTACCTGCTGTAGGTGACGCGTTGGATAGCAGGTTGTTCTGACTGTGATGATAGACAGGTTGATCGTTGTTTCTTTGGTTTGGCACCCGGCCGTTGGTGAGGCCGTTCGCTGGTGATTGAATATGAATAACTGGTGAACTTCCGGCATCAGGACACCGTTGTGATAATCTCGAACCCGTGCGTCCGTGACCCAGAAACAGAGAATGATAATCACGAATGTGCTGCTTACGGATGTATTTTGTGGTGAGCTGGATGGAATAAATGCAAAGAAGTTTGCACGGGTGGCAGACGAGTAAAGGAATTCAGCCTCAGGAGTTAACTCACATGGTAGACGAGGTAGCCCAGAGCAATTGCCACGGTGAGAACGGCCGTGATGAAGAAACTCAGACGGACAGGATCAGATCTGACCCAGGTCCAACCGCTTCCATTCGCATCCAGCGGAGTTGTGGGGATGTCCTCAAGGAAAGTGTAGTTCTCATAGAGCCCTAAGCCCCCACCGATAGCAGCCCAAGAAGAGCACGTGACTGTTCAAAAAGGGGTGGAAGTGCAAGTGAGGGTAGCACGTAAAGTATCAGAGCAAATGACGCCATTCACAACTTGATTTTCTTATTTTTTTTTTGCGTCTGAACGCTTCTAATTAAAAAAAAAGCATGGGTAGCATCTAACTGAGATTATAACAATGAGTTATGAAAATGGCCACAGCGACATACTAAAATTATTTGGT